ATTTTCTGAAGCAGCTCTGGAAGTCCTCTTTTGTGAGTGTCTTTAGTTGCGATGTTGTGGCTGCCTCCATGTCCTGAATCGATCCAAAATGTTTACCTTTCATGGTCATTTTGACTTTGGGGAAGAGCCAAAAGTCTCAGGGTGCCAGATCTGGTGAATACGGTGGATGAGGACACACCATAATGTTTTTATTTGACAGAAATTGCCATATACCAGAAGCGATGTGTGACAACAAAGTGTTGTCATGATGGAGGATGAAGTAAAGACACTCGTGAAAGAGGATTTCCAGAACTGCTTCAGAAAGTGGCAAGAACGATGGGATAAGTGTGTTCGAAACGAGAGGGAGTATTTTGAGAGGGATTAATGGCAATGTGTCTTTTACTGTAATAAATTTTTTTTTATTCAAACATTCATTGTATCTTTTGATCACACCTCGTATATCCATTACCACAATTAACTTTAGGACATTTTTATTATCCCAAAATAACACCTCACCCCACTGCTTAGATGTGACCCCCCATCTCCCCATTCCCCAGCTCCTGGCAACCATTAATCTACTTCTTGTCTATGGATTGGCCTATTCAGGACATTTGATACAAATGGAATCATACAATACATGTTTCTTTGTAACTGGCTTTTTTCACTTCAAACAACCTTTTCAAGGTTCCTCTACTTGGCAGCTTATATCAGTACTTCACTTCCTTTTATTGCCAAATAATATTCCATTGTATGTATATGCCACATTTTGTTTATCCATTCACTTGTTAATGGACTTTTGGATTATTTCTACTTTTTGGCTTTTATGAATAGTGCTGCTGTGAACATTCATGTATAAGTTTTTGTGTGGACATATGTTTTTATTTGTCTGGGATATATACCTAGGAATTGCTGGATTACATGGCAGCTCTATTTAACCATTTGAGGAACTGCCACTGTTTTCCACAGCAGCTGCACCATTTTACATTCCACCAGTAGAGTCTCAAAGTTCCAATCCTTGTGTTATTTTGAAATAAATCCAGATATAATTTCATCTTAAAATACTTCAATATGTATTCATAAAAGATGAGGGTTTCTTTTTCAAACATAGCCACTAACATTAATTTCTTAAATAAAAAATTCAGTCTGTTCAAATTTCTAGTTATCTCTAAATGCCATGAACATTATGTTAATAGCTTGTTTGAATTAGGATCCCAATAAGGTTCATGTATTACATTAGGTTCTGATGTCTTTTAAATTTTTTTTTTTTAAGATTTTTATTGGGGAATTGGGGGATAGGAACAGTGTTGGGGAATTGGGGGAAGGGAAACAGACAAGTTGCTGTCCTTTTGTTCTTCAGTCTTGCTTCACTGGCCCAAGTTGGCACCATCATTGCACTCTTCCCAGGTGAGGCAGATCAGTCGCTGGCTTCTGGACGGCCACTCACTGCGGCTGCTGGCCGCTCACGCTGGCTGCTGGCTACACACGGTAGCCCATGGCAACCCACTGCAGCAGGGGCTGCAGCCTACGCCGTCGCAGGCCACTCACAGCAGCCCAGCTCCAGGTTGAGCTGTTGTTCAGCATCTTAGCTGTAGAGGGCAGTGTCACTGGCCCTCATATGTGGGATCCGAACCGGGGCCCTCTGGCGTCCCAAGCCAGTTCTTAACCAACGTGCCACTCGGCCAGCCCGTCTTTTAAATTTTTTAATTTATAAGGATTACCTCTATACCTCTTTCTCTTTTTATTTTTGCCTTGTAATTTATTTTGCCTTTGAAGAAACTAGGTCCTTTATCCTGTAGCAGTTTCTGGTCTGGATTTTGTTGACTACATGCTTGTGGTGTTACTTGACATGTCCCATTGTTTCCTTTATTTCAATTAAAATGGTGGTTGGATGCAGGTGCTTGATCAGATTCAGGTTTTATTCCTTTGGGTTTTTTGCAAGGTTATTTCACAAGTGCTTCTTCCCTTAGGAGGCACATAATGTCTGGTTATCATTTTTTGTGATGTTAGTAGCTGTGAATAATCAATGCCTAGATTTTCCTTCCTTTTATTAAAGCAAGTTATATAACTTTTTTTTGTTTTTAATTGAGGAACAGTATGTTTTTCCAGGACCCATGAGCTCCAAGTCAAGTAGTTGTTTCAATCTAGTCGTGGAGGGAGCATCTCAGTGGCTCATGTGGGGCTCGAACCAGCAACCTTGGTGTTATGAGCGCTGTGCTCTAACCAACTGAGCCAACCGGCTGCCCCTTTAACTTTTATTTTTGATAATGAAGGAAAAAATGGTTTTTCTTTGTGGTAATTAATTCTACAATCTTAGTGGCTCTATGTCCTACAGAAATGCAGGATAACTAATTGGTCTCTGGTGAGTTATTTCTGGAATAGGTGTCCTAGCTCTTTGAATGGAAGAGTTTCCCAGAATACTGGTACACTATTCACAGTTACCAGCTTTGCCACAGGATTCTCTTACACCTCTGAAAGCCTTCTAGAACATGTTGATGTTAATACAAATAAATATATAAATTGTTGAGGAGGGACTGACTTAAAGAAAGTGGCTTTTCAAATGGTAAACTTTTATGTTTAAATTTTTCTGTTTGAGAAAACATGTTGTATGGAGTCAGCACAGGTTATATTGGTCTCCATGGATTCCAGCATAGAACCTCAGGTCAGGACCTCGGGTGCAGTGTGGTATAATGGCTAGAATCATGGGTTCTAGAAATGGATTACCTGGGGTTGAACCCTGACTCTTCTACCTAACAACTGTTTAATCTTGGAAAAGTTAATCAATTTCTTTGTGCTTCAGATTCTGCATCTGTAAATGGTGTGGCTTGTTGCACTTTTCCATCCATCGCAGGCGTACAGAGCACCTGCTCTGTATCCAGGGCTATGCCAGGGGCTGTGGGAACCATAAAAGAATTACACAGGGACCCTTATTATTTTGTATTTTGGGACCTGTAAATGCATTGGCATTGTTCTTCTGGGGTGCTTCAAAATTAGTCCCTCTGCTAACTGATTTTGAAAAAACACGGAAATGGTTCATGAAATCAATGTAGAGGGTGGTGACTGGCTTTTTATAAGAAATAAATAGAACACTATAGAAATTATCAGAGTGTACCCTGCGTAACAAAGGTAATTATTTTGTGAAACTTTTCATTTATGGATATTTGTTTTGGAACTAGGCTACCATACAGAATATGGGTTATATTCTTACCATGGGTTATACGCAAGTATATGAAGAACACTGTAATATGCAGGATTATTTTTATTTAAAAATAATTCATGTTCTTTAAATCATTTTAAAAATTGAAACAAGAGCTAGGTCTATCCTAAGTATTATTAGTTTCCTATGCCATAACACAAGCTGATGGATTGCCAAAAAGTTTATCCACTTACAGTTGTGGAGGCCAGAAATCTGAAATCAAGGTATTGGCATCTCTGAAGGTTCAAGGGGAGAAGCAAGTCCTCGTCTCCTCCAGCTTCTGGTGGCTGTTGGGGTTTCTTGGCATTCCTCAGCGTTACTCCAGTCCCTGCCATCCTTTTCCTTTTCACATCATTTTCTTCTCTCTTCTTTTTTGTCTCTCTCAAATCTCCCCCTGCCTTTCTCTTTGTTTTTAGAAATTTTATTGGGGAACAGTGTGTTTTTCCAGTCCGCATCAGTTCCAAGTCAAGTAGTTGTCTTCAATCCAGCTGTGGAGGGTGCAGCTCCTTGGCCCATGTGGGAATCGAACTGGCAACCTTGGTGTCATAAGCCTGCGCGCTAACCACCTGAGCTAACCGGCTGGCCCCGCCTTTCTCTTACACAGGCGTTTGCCAGTGGACTTAGGGCCCACCTGGGTAATCCAGAGTGATCTTCTCGTCTCAAGATCCTTCATTATATCTATAGAGATCCTTTCTTTTTAAGTAAGGTAATAATCACAGATGCTGGGGATTAGGGCATGGACATCTTTTGGGTTTGGGGATGGGGGGGGCACCACTCAACCTGCTACACTAATTGAAAAGTGAAGTGTTGATCTTCACACCCTCCAGTCACCCATCCAGGCCAACCACTGGATGGCTCCTTAACAGAAGCCATAAGTGAAGTAAATCATCCTGCTGAACATGGGTGCAGAGTTCGAAAAGAAAAAATGATGACAAAGCATAAAAAATTATCAGATAAACTGATGAGTAGGTTTAATAACCTCAAAGTGATGCACTTTGCCCAGTTTTCTCTGAATGGTGAAGGCCTGCTATTCCCCAAAATTAAAGTAAGATTCTTCATTGTCTTCAAATTGTCCCTTAATTTCTTCTGCAGGTCCATGAACACTTGGTGGGTGCAGGTTGTAGGCTAGATATGTCATTCATTTGTTTGTGGTTTCTAAAGCTTAATTCACAGTATGGGGATGAGCGCGTAAGTTGCTAAAGCTTGCCATGTTACTTGCTTGAAAGTCAGAACACAAATTTGTGTTTGGTACACACACCCCTCTGCCATTTGGCCTCCCTGGGAGGGTCTTCTGGAGGCCCACACAGAAGCAGGGAATCCCTGCCATGGTCCAGGCTGACCTTGCGGGTGGAAAGGGAGTGTTCCTTGGTTTCCTGAGAATCTCCCTGTGTAGTGCTGAGGGATGCCAAGAAACTCCAACAGCCACCAGAAGCTGGAGGGGAGACAAGGAATGATTGATAGGCCAAGCTGCAACCTGTCTCAACCAAGCTGAGATGGCCATTATCAGGACAGTTAGGAACTAATGAGTGTAGACAGTTTGTAAAAATAAATTGAAATACTGTCAGTTTTTTGAGATTCATAGAAATCATTGCTATATTCCACACATACTTCACAACCCTCTGATAAAAAAAACAAAAACAAAACAAAGAAACAATAAAACCAGGCAATACAAATCCCAATAACCCCATCACCCAAAGAAAGCCTCTGTAAGCATTTTTGTGTACTCCTTCTGTCTTTATCTAAAGTGCTTTTACTTGAACATACCAGCATTACTGCTGAAACCTTGATTTTGGTAATGACCTTTGTCTACCTTGCCTTTCTTGTACAGGCTTCAATAGATCCTCTAAAGGAAGAAGTCTCATTGGTAAGATTGATGGCTCATCTCAGATCTCTGGGAAAGTGGACCCAGTCTTTTCCGTGGATGAGCTCTCTGCCACCATCCTCACTGGAAAACTGACTACTGTCTTTCTCCCACTTGTCTACACGATTGTATTTATGGTTGGTTTGCCGAGTAATGTCATGGCCCTGTGGGTCTTTCTTTTTCGAACAAAGAAGAAGCACCCTGCTGTTGTTTACATGGGCAACCTGGCCTTGGCTGACCTACTTTCTATCATCTGGTTGCCTTGGAAGATTGCCTATCATATACATGGCAACAACTGGATTTATGGGGAAGCTCTTTGTAAGGTACTCATTGGCTTTTTCTATGGCAACATGTACTGTTCCATTCTCTTCATGACCTGCCTCAGCGTGCAGAGGTACTGGGTTATCGTGAACCCCATGGTGCACGCCAAGAAGAATGCAAACATTGCCGTTGGAGTCTCCCTGGGAATATGGCTGCTGATTCTGGTGGTTACCATCCCCTTGTATGTCATGAAGCAGACCAGTCACATCCCAGCCCTTAACATCACGACCTGTCATGATGTTTTGCCTGAGAAGGTGTTGGTGGGGGACATGTTCAATTATTTCCTCTCTCTGGCGATTGGAGTCTTTCTGTTCCCAGCCTTCCTCACGGCTTCTGCCTATGTGCTGATGATCAGAACACTTCGATCTTCTGCCATGGATGAAAACTCGGGAAAGAAGAGGAGGAGAGCCATCAAACTTATTGTCACTGTTCTGGCCATGTACCTGATGTGCTTCACTCCTAGTAACCTCCTGCTCGTGGTGCATTATTTCCTGATTAAACACCAGGGCCAGAGCTATGTGTACGCCCTGTACCTCACAGCCCTCTGCCTCTCCACCCTCAATAGCTGCATTGACCCCTTTGTCTATTACTTTGTGTCACAGGACTTCAGGGATCATGCAAAGAACGCTATCCTTTGTCGAAGTGTCCGCACGGTAAAGCGGATGCAAATATCTCTCTTATCTAAGAAATCCTCCCGGAAATCCAGTTCTTACTCTTCAAGTTCGACCACAGTTAAAACCTCCTACTGAGTTTTCCAGCTCCTCCAGTGAAAGTTTTACGGGAGAGTTGGGAGCCTGCTTAATATGACAAAGATGTGTTTGTTGTTTCCTAACCAGCGGGTCTCAGCATATAACCATGTATATGCAACCCCTTCTCAGGATTGCTGGAAGCTTCCTTGTTTGCTTGAGGAAAACCCCCAAATTAACATGGATGTCAGCTTCAGAACTCTTCTACTCAGATGCTCCTGGAAATGGAACTTATAGAAACGGACTTTTTAGAAGGTGATGAAAACACAGAAACCAAGTGACTTGCATAAAAACCTTGTCTTGGCATGAAGACTAAGTCCTTAGCTGAAATCTATTTCTTGTACGTCTGGGGTCAAGCACAGTCTTGTTAGGGCTTAAGGGCCTTCAGAGATGATCAGTCCACTTAACTGACTTGACAGGTAAGGAAAATAAAGAGGTGAAGGGGCTGTCCAGAGTCGGACTTCCAACCAATGGCAGCGAATTAGGATTGGACAGCAGAATTGGTCACAGGGCTTCTTTTACCACCTATCAAAATCCCTGAGGAGCTTGTTTAAAATGAATATTCTTCAGACTTAAGAATGAAAGCTCAGAGTGTGGGAACAGGGCCCAGGAACTTGCATTTTAACAAGCCTCTGCATGATGCTCATGCATACCAAGGTGTGTAAACCACTGATCTGGGTGCTGCATGCACTCGACAAGGTGTGGTGCCATGGTAGTTTTTGAAACGAGACGCAAATAGAATGCTTTGTGTCTCTTTTTTTGTTCAGCTTGTAATGAAATCTGATGACTTATTGGGCCTTTCAATTTCTTTATTAATCCTTTGAGCTTTTGCATGTATCATTGTCAATTCAAGGAAAATACAGTGAGGATTTAAAAAATGGAAATACAAAGTTTTGTGTAACTTTTTCCTGACTTCAGCGAACTCTTCAGGTAACCTGAGTTTCACAACTGAGAATACAAGTGACCACTTCGTATTGTAAGAAATTATTGTTAGACTATTTATTGTCAGTTTTGTTCTCTTGTTATCAAATACGAAATTATAAAGGCTTCATTGGTTTTGAATGACATCTGTTTGGAAAAGAACAGTAAAATAGATGTGATTTGCAATATATTTAAGAGGTACTTGACTTCAAACTGACTTTATATATACCTGTTGTATTTGTGACTTTGAAATAATTATCTTATTGTATGATTTATAAATAACACCTGAAATTTTTTCACAACTTATTTCTGAATTGCTTGTGTGTGTGTGTGTGTGTGTGTGTGTGTGTGTTGTATTTGAGGGAAGGAAAGTAGTAAGAGAAGCAACATTACTCTTCTAAGAAGAAATGATGTGATATGCACACATTTTTACATAACTCAGGCCATACTGTACATATTGCTCTGTGATAATTGTTTTTCATTTAACCACATTTTAGAATTCTTTCTATGTCTGCATCTATAGGTTGACCTTCAGTTTTTAAAGGATACAGACTATTTACTATTTTGCACATATTGTGATGTATTTAGTCATTTCCCTACCTATGGTTCCTGAAGTTGCCGCCCCCCCCCCCAATTAAAACAGTGCTGCATTGAACATCTGTGAGCAGACATCTTTGTGAATATTTCTGTAGGATGAGTTCCTGGAAGTAGAATGACCAGCTGAAAAATTAGATGTGTATTTTAAATTTTGGTAGCTCTTGCCAGATGGCCCTCAGTGATTTATACTTCTACCAAAAAGTACATTTGTACCTATTTTCTGAAATGCTCATCCACACTTGATCCATCAATCTTCAGAAATTTTACCAATCTGATTGGGGGAGAAAAAACAATTCACTCTTTCAGTTGGTATTGAAGCAGCATAGCCTAGTGGCTAAAAATGCAGGTCCTGAGCTGCCAGGCAGGGCTGAATTCTGACTCCATTTTTTTGTTTTGTTAACTTAGGGAAGATACTTCTCAGTGCCTGAGTTTCCTCATCTGTAAAATGAGGATGATAATATCTTTCTCTTAGAGTTACTAGGATTAAATGTTTGGCACATTTACATGCTCATAAATATATAGGTTATTATATTAATCCCCTGTCTGCTAATGACATCTCATTTCTGATCTGTTACCTTTTCACTTCAGTGCCAGTTGTGTCCTGCTGTCCTTGCTTTCTCTACTTTGAGTCTCCTAGCAGGCTTGTGAGGTCGTCCCAAAAGATGGTGGATACAGGATAAAAGGAGCAGAAACAAATGGCTCACAGGCCTTGCAGGTGGTCTATGGGCTGATGCAGTGGAAAAACATATTTTGATATTTGCCATTTCTTTATTAGTCATTTTTGTAATACATGCTGATGTTAAAAAAAAATTTCAAACTGAACAAAAAAATATAAATAAAAAATGTTCTTCTTTGCTACCCATGCCCTTTCTCCTTTTCTAGAAGGCTAATTTTTTTTTTTTTAAGATTTTATTGGGGAATTGGGGAAGGGGAACAGACAAGTTGCTGTCCTTTTGTTCTTCAGTCTAGTTGTGGAGGA